GGCGTCGGCGGCGGCGGCGATGGTGGTGATGGTGGTGGCGGGCCCATCGTTGTCTCCGGTGGGGATCGTCTTACCGTAGCACTGCCCCATCAGCAGAGTTACGAGTAGATGTCAACTCCACAGCTCTCCTCCTCTTTTTTTTCCCTCTTTGCGTCTCTGTCGACTAACAGTAGTGTAAAACTATTTATATTTAATGTTTTTTTTATTTTAAAATAATAACATACGTTACTCTTTCTCTCACACACACTGTTTTGTTCCTCCTGTGTCTACAGTTCGTTGTGTGTAATAAAATGATACTAATGGGATACATACAATTCCGAGAGATGCTAATGCCTATGTTACGGAACTGTTCTATCCGAGTTTGTAACAGTTAGATACTATCCCGACAATTACATGATGATCTAAAGGTTACAAACTCCCACGGAATGATTCTGTGACGAGACCGTAGTATTTCCCTCAGATATTATTTTATTCCAAATAAAATTTTGAACTGGAATTAAAAGACTTTTTATCAACAATTCAAAAGGAAAATTAGAAAACGCCAGTGGAATCTGTCAACACAGAAATTTACATACGGAAAATTACAGGCATCAAGGGATTTAGCTTATTACTTAAGGAAAAATAATCAAACGGTAGTTATTAAAATATATAAAAGTTGATTAGAAATGAATAAAGTATTTAAAATAGTCGGATTACTGATACAAATTAATTTATGTGAGAGCTGTGCAGTGGCAAAAGTCTTGTACAAAATCAAGAAAGCTATACTATGTGGAAAAGTAGAGACCTAAGTGGAGAAAACGAACATATGATTAAATTGAGTTTTCCTCTCAAAAACACCACAAAATTGATTTTATTAGGATTGGTTTTAGACTAAAAGGTTTTCATAGATCCAAACGTGTAAATTCCACAGTATAAATTTAAAGTTCTAGATGACTTGGTATGTAATTCATGTTAAGTCATGTGAAGTTGTTTCTTATGACTCCTTCGTTAGAAAACTATTTGGACTAAAATTCCGGTTGGAAGCTGAGAAATTGCGGGCTCATGTATAGTTCTACGTGTTCGAAGCCTCACTCTATCCAGGGTTTCTCTAGTTCCATCTAATGGAATATCAGATTTCTTGGTTAGACTGTTTTGGGGTGTTGTTTCTTCGATGTATGTGTGTGTTTCCTTTTGTTGGGTGTTTCGTGTGGTCCGATTTTGGGGGTTAGGGCTTTGCTGGGCTTCCATGTGAATAGTTCGTCTTCATCTTTATCGGGGGCAAGCTTCCTCTCACTAATGTTCATATCCCTTGATGGGGTTCTATTAGGAACGTCGAATCATGCAAGTCACGGATCAAGACTACAAAAAATAAGCATAAACCGCATTGAACAAAAGTTAATTTTGAACACTTACGACTTATAACTTTGTAGGCTTACGGGGCTGGACGACGTTTCTGACAGATCTTCTCGCCTCGTCCTTCACGCTTCATCTCGTGGATGTCTATCATCGAGAACGCGTTCGGGTCGTCGGGGATACTCGCGTCTCGGTCATGTCACGTGCGGGCGAGGGTCGCGGTCCCTTCATGCTGCATGCGCGAGGTGCATCTCGCGGGGTACGTGCTCGAGCAGGGTTGCTCGCGAATGGATGAGGGCTAGGCACTGCGATTCTTGCCCGTGCATCGCGATGCTCGGTTGCTCCGTCCGTGCGTCGCGTGGAGGATCGGTAAGCTGGGCTCTGTATTCGGCAGTAGTGTCGGGTATGGCGGACGTCACGTGGTTGCCTCGGGATTTCAGTTGTATTACCTTACACAACTTTGATAGTCTTGATGGGCGACGGAACAATGCTCGCTCGATTGGTATTATAGAGTCTCTCACGTGCGGTGTTCTCAAATGCCAAGAAAGGTTGTGTATTTATGGGCTACAAAAGGGACCCTAAGAAGGTGTTAAATATGAGCTTCTAGAGTGTGAGCCTAATCGTGGACCAAGCCCACTAGGATCATACTTGAACGATACTTCAGTCCTAACCGTGGGCCAAGCCCACTAAGATCATTCTATCAGTTACTTGCGAAACAAGAATAGTGGTTCACAACCTAGATGGAAATGAACACCCAATCCGAACGGTTGTAGTGACAACGGTACAATTTGTATTGACTGATTAGTTGCACTAGTGCATTTATGTATTGAACATGATCCCAGAAAGGAGAAGTTCGTTTTATACTGATCGTCGTAAACGAACTAGGCCTCGGTTAATTACTATATTCTCTTAACCAGTAAGATATTAAACAGACATATATATGCAATATATATTATTTTGATTCACATGGGTGATGTTCAGTTCACTGGATTAATAGTCTTACTGTCTTGGGTAATATTGTTGCATATATGATGTGTTGTTAGGATATTTACGGTCACCATGTACATTTAGTTTGATGATGTCCTTGGAGTGAGTTAATGAAGGACTATTATGTTGAACCCTGCAGGTGCTTTAAATTCTGGCATAGTAATAATGTGATGAATAAGCGCTAGCTTCAGTGAAATAATAAAAAATTAAATAATTCTTAATTGTCATTAACTGAATTAATTAATGGACATTATATCTTAACCATGGGAAGGTAATTCGGGTAATTATAATTGGAGTCTCAATTGTAAATTGGGCTAGGAAAAGGGAGTGCAATAATATTATGTTAGTGACCCATATATATATACATCATTAGGCTCATGGAAAAGAAGAGAAGATATCATAATTCTCCTACGCGTTATATCACGCGCACGCCGTGTCTCTCTCTCTCTCTCTCTCTCTCTCTCTCTCTCTCTCTTCTCTCTCAGTTTTCTGTTTGAGCTTTATCTTCTTCTTGTTGCTCCACCGATACAAGTTGAAGAGGTGTTTGAGATATACAATAGAAGATCCCAAGGTAATTGAGATACATATATTCATTAACCCCAGAGACCAATCGGAGCCGACGAACCACGACCCGAAGGCCGAGATCACCGACCCCGACTAGCCGGAGCGACGCCGCGATGAGCCGACCGCCGCCAGTAGCCCCACGTCGCAACACGCGTTGCCACCCATTCGCCGCTGTTGTGTACAAATTATTATTTTTATCAATATCAAATCGAAAGATTCGTTTCCCGAGTCGATCTCACGATGAAGGTTGTTCATAATTTAGAAATGGTATCGATCACACACAAAAGAAAATAAAATCCTAAACATTCTAATCAGATAGGAGGTTTGAGAAATTATCATCTAAGAAATAATAAAAAGCATAATCTACCTAAAAATGAGAACGAAACGAAGATGGAGAAGCTAGGGAATCGGGGATAATCAATTCAAGTTTTATTCACAAAATCGAGATATTAATTGTTCGATTTAAGATTGACACTCTTGCTTAAACATCTAGCGGTTCGCTCCCTATAACTCTTCGTAACAAGGGATTGAACATAGACGAACAAGTTCGAGCATACGATGCCGGCCTAGAGGTCCGATTCCAATAACTCACGTAACAAGGAATGGGACATAGGCAAGCATGTATTTCAATCCAAATCTATAGACTATTCCATTAGGAAATCCTCTATCCTGTGCAAGCCAAAGACTACAACTTTCCCCTTTCGGTTCCAAAGATTGCTCAATTAAATCAGAGGATGATTAACGACTAATTCTTACAATCAACAAAACCCTAACTCGACAAAATCAATATCCAAATATTTTTAATCGCAAAATTGAAGTTTCACCCTTCAATTATATCAATCAATCAAGCAGGTTTCATCAATTTATAACCAGAGCAACTCGCACAAGAACGAACAAATCAAGCCCGACAGATACGAATTAGACAAGAACAATCATTTCCTATCCCTAGCAATTGGAATCAGCTATGTAAGATGAATTCAACACAATAAATCAATTCCCTCAATTCAACCATTTTTCATGAATTCAAAAGAAGAGAAAAGAAACTTACAATAAATCCCAATTCCAAGTGTTGAATTTTATTACAAGCTTAATCCTTAAACAATAATAAAAAGAAGAAGAAAATTGGAGAGGAAAGATTAAAGAAAGGAGAAAAAACAAAGAAGAAAAAAGGGGGAAGAGAAGAGAGTTTTCTATGTTTTTTCTCGGGACCTAGGGCTTTCACCCGATCGAGAGATGTGAAGAATGAATGATATAAAATGAGTCCCCGTACACATATTTATAGGAGAAGTGGCCATGGCGTAAAAAAAATTGATGTCCGCGTGAGGAGCGGTTCTACCGTGGCGTAGAAATCTTGCCGTAGCGTGATGGGAGCAGGCACCGCGGCGCGAGGGCAGGGTCTGTCACGGCGTGTCACAATCTCACGGCGCGAGAGATGATTTACTAGGCGAACTAGTAGGGGCTGTCACGGCGGGTGCGTGTGGCACGACGCGACAGCCTTCTCTTCGCGGCAGGCAGCAGATGCGAGTCTTCTGCCCAACTCGTGGCAGCATCTCGGCGCGGCGGGCTTCTTCTTCATGGCGCGGAGCTTCAATGCGGCGCGGTAGAGGTAGGCATCACGGCATGGCACTGAACGCGGCGCAGAGCTGGGACCTGGGAACCTCTGTCCGTCCCGGGGCACCGGCGCGGCGCAGCGAGCTCGTGAGGACCTGATCGGCGCGGTGTGGTGACTGGAAAGCTCGGGCCTAAATGCATGACTTCGCATATTATATCCGTTCGAGCTCGTCCGACCTCTGAATTTGGTTCCGTTTTCTTCTGTGTGTTGCCGACGAGACACTCTATCCAAATGTGTTCACCCTATCCATTTATCACGAAAAACAAATTCTCCCGAGTCTTCTAACCTACACACCAATGACAACGAAAAACCGGACAAAGACCGAAAAAACATAAGAAAGAGCAAGAAGAGAGCAAACACAAAATAAACTATATAATGAGCTCAAACTCGACTAAACGGCCTAAATGGGGGAAAGAGAATGACAAAAAGATAACAAAAAACGCAACAAAAATTTGACAAACAACTCCCCCACACTAAAACCTTTGTTCGTCCCGAACAAAAAGAAAAGAAAACAAGAACCGAGCATGGATGCGGTTTCAAATAAGAAGAGTCCCAAAATGTCCAATTCAACTAGGTCGAATTCCAATGACCGTATGACCATATGCCTCAAATATTAACTTGACCGTGAAATGACAAACTCTCAACACATAGATCAAAATATAGGCCTCACTCATTTTTCTTACATGAATATGTGATAGGTACGCTCATAATAGGTCAATATTCAAGTTTCAACATATGTTTGCCAATCGTTTAAATTACTTGAAAACAATCAAAGCTCAAAAGATGCGAATCAGAGGGCTTCACGGATTGTAATGCGGGTTTAAGGTTAGGATTTATATGCGAGAAAAGCAGCTCAAATAAACAATCACAATTCTCGAGCAAATAGATAGCTCGAGTTCTCCGCTACCAATCCGGAAACATTACAACACACTCACCATCCAACCAAAACAACTCCACAAACAATACCTAAGTGCTCTAATCGAATTGCAACATCACTTGACCTAATTTTTTATTTTAATTTTTTTTATTATTATTATTTTCTACCCTTTTTTTAGAGTAACTTTTTCCAAACAAACGAATCGAAAGGACAATATTC